TTTTTTTGTAATGGCAACTTGATACAGATGACAAACACTACAAGAAAATGATGAAATTCTAATGCAAATTTTCAACGAAAATATATTTCAATAAAATTCTAATTGTAATTTCAATGGATATTCAATTGCTAATATTTCCGTTAGAATTTTGCAATGTATTCCAACAAGAATTCTAACAACAATATTCTGTTGGAATTTGTTCCGATTTTAACTATTTCAACGATTGAAATACAAGTAAAAATAAAAATTACACCGTGACAATATATTTAAACTGAAATTCATACGGTAAAAACAAAAAACTCATTTCAGTGGAATATTTTTTTTTTTGAGAATTTCTATTAGAATCATTCCTATTGTAATATTAAAAAGTTTCATCATTCAATTTGCAATTTGTTTATATTTATAAATGTCATTGGTAAATAAAAAAATATATATACACCTATATATGTATATGTAGGGTTGTATATCGATGAGCATGACGGTGCACCAAACGAGCTTTTGCTTCGTGTGCAGCCACCTGGCGTCGGGCCAAAAGGAAGGAGACGAGCTCCGCAGAAATTCTGACGTGGCAGAAATCTTGAAAGGCATCCAATTTCCTCGGCTTTGCAAGAACCCGACCCGCCGGGTCCCCGAAAAAATAATCCATCATGAGTAAGTTAATGTTACAATTTAATAAATTAATAATACGACTAATATTTGATTACATCACAAATTCTTTAAATAAATATGATTATTAATATTAATTAATACTATAAAAATAACATATTTTTATGATAAAATGGGAAAAAATTTTCAGCCGTGTGATTTGGCTAGGGGACTTGAATTATCGAGTAGGATTGAGCTATGAAGAGGCAAGGATATTGTTGGAAGATAACGATTGGGACTCTCTCTTAAATAAAGATCAGGTTGGTGGATTAATTAATTTATTTTTCTTTAAGAGTTAGGACTAAATTACGAGAGATGCTATGGTTCAGTTACGGAACAATTTCGTCGATGTTTGTAACCATTAGATCATCACGTAACCGTCGAGGATAGTTGATTTAACTGTTACAAACCCCGATAGAATGATTTTGTAACGAGACCGTAGCATTTCCCCTAAATTAGAGGCTTTACAAGTCAAAAATACCTCAATTTCTAACAGAACAACTAGACGTCGAGTCGACGGGCCTCAAATACTGGGCCCGGAATTGGCCCGGCTATATCTAAGGGCTCGTTCAAATGAACCGGCCCGACCTGGCGGTTCGTTAAAAAAAAAAAAGAAACAATTATGACCCATCTTCAGACCCGATATGTAAAAAATGACTAAAACACGAACTTGAACCACACTCAAGGGTTCTAGAGCGGTTCAAAAACCGGCCTTACCTGGCCGGTTCGGTTCGACCCTTAACCATGTTTGAACAACACCTGTAATTTTATTTTTCTTATATAATTATTATTAATACTTAATAATAATTGAACGGACATATATATTGTTTGACCATGAGGACACAGCTGAACAAGGAAAGAGAAGCAGGAAGAGTATTTATTGGGTGGAGCGAGGGCAAGATTGTGTTCGCGCCCACATACAAGTATTCCCACAATTCTGATTCATATGCTGGTGAGACCACCAAGTCCAAGAAGAAAAGGAGGACCCCTGCATGGTAATTTTTTAATTAATAATTCTTACTCCCCTCTATTTATTGACTACCTTATCTCCATTTAACAGACTTCTTTGTTTTTTCTCGTAACGAAATTATTCCGTCGAGTTTGTAATCGTTGGATCATCATGTCACCGTCGGGAATAGTTGATCTAACGATTAAAAACCCCGACGGAAATCTTTTTTTTTTTATATGTACATCTTCCATTTTATCTTTTTTATTCATTCAATAAAGTATTTCTAAATACACATCAAGATAAATACAAATTAAAAGCTACCCTTGTAGGGCAATTGCAAGATTCCCCCACAAGAGAAAGGTTTCTTACATTATTGGTATAAAATTAGATGCCTAACTATTAGGCCTGTCGATCAGTTATATATTATTGATGTCATCATACTTTTATTTACGTGGTTTTTAGGTGTGATAGAATTTTATGGCGTGGAGGTGGCATCGAGCAACTATCATACATACGTGGGGAATCGAGATTTTCGGATCATAGGCCCGTTTGTGCGGTTTTCGCAGTTAAGGTGGAGGTCGCTAATAACAAGAACATGGCGAAGTTTAGAAAGGGTTATTCTTGTGCCAGCACAACACTTGAATTCGAGGACTGCATACCACAAAGGCATAGTTTTTGCAACTTTTAGCTATATTAGATTCTAGCGAAAGAAGCCGAGTAATAGCATTGATCGTAGTTTTGCTTTTAGTCCTTTTTTCCGAATCGCCCTCAAGAAAATACATCACAATTACAACATGAGCATGCATCGACGGGTGAGTCAAGTCGAGTTAATGAGAAACAAAAACCGCGCTCTTTGAATCTTCTGTCATGATGATAATGCAAGGAGATGCTGACATTAGTTTGATATACTCTTCATGATTTGGTCAGCAAGTTTTGCGTGCAGCTTACTCGAATAACACATAGCATGTAAACAAATTCAGAAACTAGCGAATCCATACATCTTAATCACAAGGCCATACTCACAATGCACAACACATGTAAGATGTAACTTATTATTATTATTAATATTTAAGAAAATGATTTAGGCGGTTTTGATTATGAAAGATTATGAAAATTTTAACTTTATTTTCTTTTCTTAAACTAATAATAATAATTTTAAAATTAGTGAAACAACAAACTAAGTTGTATTCATTTTGACAAACCTCATGTACAAAAATTCTATGGAGCCATTAGATGGTTTTCGTATGGAGCCATCTACCACTTAATGTGTTGACACATGTCCAAATTGCATTTATTGTAAGACACGTGTCAATATACTATTGGTGAATAATGGTGGATGACTTCATAAGACGAGCCATCCGATAGCTCCATAGCAAAACTATCTTCATATAATTAATTTGGAATTTTAGATATTGACAAAAGTCTAGAGATACCTAATTGAGATTTTAGAAAATCTTAAAGAGTATCTTGTAAAACTTTTACAAATATAGAGATATTTAGTTTCAATTTCAGAATGCAATTTTGCTATGGAGTCAACTGTTAGTTTCATATCAAAATTGTTTCAGAATATATTAAAAGTCGCTACATTATTTTTTTAGAATTTTAAAAAATATTTAATTTGTTTACCGTTGAGATTATTCCAAAAGGTTTTAGAAAGTTCAGAAAAAAAATCAACATATTACTTTTTTATATGGATCTACTTAAGTTATATTCGGTATCCAAATTAACTTATAACTTAATTAGTTTATAAGCATCTTGTATTCAAATAAGTTTCGTTTAGTAGGACGAGTTTTTCTAAAAAAAAACCCGAGCTTATGCTTCTTTGGGTAGCTTTTCAAATAAGTCTGTTGAAATTTTTATTTCAGCTAGCTTATCAGATAAATTTATCACACTTTTATCATATGCTAACTTTTCAGCTATAAGTCATAAGCCCAAAAACCACGTATAACTATAAGCTAATTTATCTCATAAGTTTATCAAACATCACTTTATAATTTAAATTCCAACGAATGACCGCATAACAAAATAATTTAACTATTCGATGAAATCGAGAATGGATAAGATAGATTGAAAATGAGTTGGAGTAGTATATGATATATACATTAAAAGGGAGATTTTACGGTGAACCATTCCGTCGATATTTGTAATCGTTAGATTAATTATCCACAATGGTTATATAGTGATCTAACGGTTATATATCCCGACGGAATGATTCCATAATGGGGCTGTAGCATTTCTCACGTTAAAATTAAATAATTAAAATGAAAAATGAAGACAGTTGGGTACTTGGGTATCAAAACTCAAAACAGCATTTTTAAGGAACAACAATAAGGGAAAATGAAAATATAAATAAACCACGAAAAAAACCTTATCCTCTCCTGCACCTCTGATCGCCCAAAAATGGCAGCTCTTCACTTTACTCTTCCTCTCAATTTCAACGGACATAAAACCCCCATTCAAACCCAATTCCAATCTAATCACCTGAAGCCCCAGTCCCCTCCGACCACAATCCGCCGCCGGTTGACGGCCGTCCGCGCCTACAAGGTGGTCGTCGAGCACGACGGCGGGTCGACGGAGCTGGAGGTGGAACCGGACGAGACGATCCTGTCAAAGGCGCTGGACGCTGGGCTTGACGTTCCCCACGACTGCAAGCTGGGCGTGTGCATGACGTGCCCGGCCCAGCTGGTCTCCGGGAAGGTGGACCAGAGCGAGGGTATGCTGAGCGACGATGTCATCGAGAGTGGGTACGCGCTGATGTGCGCGTCGTACCCGAGGTCGGACTGCCGCGTGAAAGTTATACCAGAGGAGGAATTGCTCTCTCTTCAGCTGGCTACCGCTAATGATTAATTAATTTT